AGAAAAACCTACAATATACAAGGCAGCAATTCCTCTACAAACTTAAGTTCCAAATGAACACAAACCTTTTGGGAGGCTAGGAAAATTCAGAAGCAACTGCAACTTCCAAAAGTCTTCCTCGCGGAATTTGCTGTTGTCATCTCGCTTTTGTTTGAAAGACTCGATTATACCAAATCGAATGAAGTGTCATGTGAAACAGGTCGTGTTTTGCAGGCTTTGCATGCCAAAGAAAATGGCGTTGAACCTTTCTAACAGCTAGTTGCATATCAAGATACTTCTTTTCCGGTATAGCAACAAGTATGCTTTTCAAGTTCGGAATATCCTTCTCAGCTATTATCAACGAGAACGTGTCGCAATTCAAGATTTCGAAAAAGGGAGGCACGAAATTATCCGATATAATCACGGGCACGCATTCATAAAATATGGCTTCGACTACTCTAGGACTATTGACTTCATAGCCCTTTGGGCAGATGCAGAACTTGCTGCTCTTCATATGCTGTATATAATTCATTTTGCTAGCGACACCACTTGGCATTGGACCAAAGATCTCCATGTCAGGATCTTTGTCCTTCCAATGCTCGAGCAAGATTGGACGTAAGTATCCATGCATATTCCCAGCATAGAACGCGAGAATTTTCCTTTGAGATGGTGGCTTACCTCCGAGATCTCTAAGTGGATTTCTGGCAGAGCGGACATATGTTTCTGGAAGGGATATATCCCTTCCTATTTTGAAACCTACCGTTACATCTGCGTTGCAGAGGGCCTTGATACAATGCTCCATGTGGTGCCTTGTTTCGTATGGTGCCTATGATAAATACGATTATAAGCTCAAATGTTGAACGAGCGTATACTGTCAGGTAACTTGAATATCACAAAGAAAAAGACGGGAGAAAACTACACAGTATAGCCTCTCTCTAAAATAGTAGCCACCAAATTTTTTTTTTTTTTTTTGTATATTAATGTGTAATATACATATTTTATACATAATCAGTGTATCTTAATGTACATTTTTTGTTTATTAATGTATAATCTACATTTTCATACGTTATATGATTTGTATATTTGGCTAGCGGATATAATTATTTTTGGCCGAGCGGCATTATGTGTAACGTGCCCAAAGGATGGTGGCAAGATATATGCAATACATCTAATAAGTCAATCCAAGATTTGCCTAAAAACACTACAAACTCATTTTTTGAATCATCAAGCCATAGCGGATAACACGAAATACATGCGGGGTTAAGAAAAAAGAATGAAATTTTACATTACCCAGTCATGGCATGCGACAAGAAAATGATCAGCTCCACCAGTTCTATTCCAGAAACGGTATTTTGCTGCAATCTTCTCTGAGTATTCCTTCAAATACTGGCGTAGGTTTGTTCGATTGTGAGAATTACGCACATATAGAGAATGCTCCAGCATCCTTGAACTAAAGGGCAGGTAGAACAGGTGAGCTTTTCGGGGATCCTTCACGACGAACTTATTGTTTCCCTCCATTAGTTTCATAAACCATCCCTCAGATGCATACAATCCCTTCATTATTGGTTGATGAAAAATGGGTTTCTCTCCATCCTTGTAGACGTAAACTTTGAGAATCCGCTCCATGAGTTCGTAACTCCTGCAAATTCAAGGAAGCATAAGGGAAAAATCCAATAGCACAGATGCGGATCCAAGATACTTCTTACTTCAGCACAAACAGAGAAAAATCTAAGTTTCTATCAATGTCAAAACTAGTCAGTAGCTCCAACTCACATATGAAATAAAGCTCTTACACTATTTTTCTCCTCTAGCTTTAGAAGTTATATCCACAAGGAGTCTAGATTATGCTGCAAGAGAGCAACATAGCTAAACTAATCTAGAAAATATCTATGTTGCTCGGACTCTCCGAAAATGTTGTCAGGTGCGTGTCGAATAGTATATTTTTGAAGGATCTGACACGGGTGCGGCAGCATTTTGGAGAGTCTGCGCAACATAGGAAAATATCAGCTGGTTATTATGCATCAGAATGTTACTAAACAGCAACAAACCTTTTGAACATGGACACATTTCGAAAGGCAGGAGCATAAAGTTCTCGATCATTCCTCAGAAATGGAGCATTCTCAATCTGTAATCTGGCAGCCAGAATTTCCTGGTCACGTTCAGAAGACCACCTAGGTCTCTGCAGTCCAATTTAAAGAAAATAGTGAATTCTCATTCCATTTACAGTATAGGGAGGCAACAGCTTTGAGCAAGAGAAGAAAAAACATACCATAGCACGTGAACGAGCACGATGCCTAACTAGTAACCTTTCCATCTGAGAGATTGAAGTTATAGTTTTTGGTGGCATCATACACCTCATCTTCTTTTTAACTGGACTTTTCATACCATTACTTGAGACAGTAATATCCGTTTGAACCAACGAATGGTTTCCATTATTTGGGAGAACTTGAGTCAAATCTCCTTTTGAAGACTTGTTACGAGCAGTATGATTGTAGTTGCTTTCATTTAATCCTAAGGTAACCAATGGCAATGGATCTATATGTTTTGAAGCAATCACAGAAGTCAGGTTAGTCGCGCTTGTAGTTTTAGTATCAATTCGCATGCTACTTCTATTTGCATCTAACTCAGAGTCTGCTGAAAGTTCACCATTTGGTTTCACAACTTGCTCTAAAGAAAGATCCTGTCTAGATTCATCATTCTTTTGCAATATAGAACCACGATCTTGGTTTCCACTGTTCTGCATTGCGGTTCCCTCACCAATGTCCGCATCTTCATCGAATAGGTTATCATTTTCAATAGTTGCATCTTCAACAAAATCAGAGTCATTATCAAGGGCTTTGCCATCTGAATGATCGCTATCTAGTTTTACCTCATGCTCGCCATTTACTCCTTCGTCATTTTCACCATCTTCACCCGTATCACCATTATCCGTACTTTCCACACAATGAACCAACACAGATGCACTATCAGAGTTTGAGAGTTTTTTTCCTACAAGGGTTCCAGCAACCTTTGCAGATTTGACAGTATATTCTCTTATTGAGAAGCTAATCTTCTCCGGTAACAAAATTGTTTTATCCGGTACCAGAGAGCGAAGAGCATTGCCATAAGGAAGCATCAAGGTCTGGCAAAATAAATGAGTGACAGCCACCAAAACCAAAATCAAAATCCATTTCCTTTTATCAATTTGACGTAGAATTTGAAACTCCTCGCCGCACTTCATTCTTTAAAATTCAACTCAAATCAGTAGCTCGTCAAGGCAATTCAAGAATCTGTTTCATGATTTCCTGCATAAAAGCTAAAATTTCTAAAATTTCTGCAGTTCCTTTTTGGTAATATACTGCCTTTAGCTCAAACGTACATATAATGAAACAAATTTCAAACACACATATATTTATACTAAATTCGGACCTTGTTGTCACAAAAATTTAGTCTACACTATACACCTGCTGACTTAAAATCCCACTTCTGTCAAAAAATGCAATGAAGTTAAAAAAAGTGCAGCCCGGTGCACTAAGCTCTCGCTATGCACAAGTCCATGGAAGGGCCGGACCACAAGGGTCTACTGTATGCAGCCTTACCCTGCATTTCTACAAGAGTCTGTTTTCACGGCTCTAACCTGTGACCTCCTGGTCACATGGCAGCAACTTTACCAGTTACGCCAAGGCTCCCCTTCAAAAAATATTGCAAAGAAATTGAACTACCTACTAGTACAAAAGTGCTTCACTGAGCTCTGAAATGTATAATCTTTAGCTACAAATTCAAGCTCCAACAACCAAAATAACAATTGGGTATCTCCAAAATGAACATAAAAGTTAGTAAAGGCAAAAAAGAAGCTAAAATTTGATCAACTCAAGCACAAACTTTAGCTCCAAAATCAAGTTCTATGAGCCAAACCAACAATTGGGTATCTCTTAAATGAACCTAAAACTAATTAAAAGAGTATTAAAGAACTCAAACTTGACCATTTTCCACAACAGTAAAGGATCAAGAATGAAGTATTACCGAGCAAAACAGCAGAGTTGAAGTGAGGCCCAGTGCTCAGTAGCAGCGTCGGTAGCGACCACAAAATTCTCAAGAAAAATGCAGGTTTTTAGAGTAATAATTTGAAGTAGTTGAAAAGGTTTAAAATCTAATGTTTTTTTTTTCTGAATTTAGTAACCCAAAGCTAGTGTCATTTAGTAGTATATCAAAATGGAACAAGAGTGACAGGGTCTGCTCAAAGTCAAAGGGGTATTTTTCTAAATTTAGCACTATAGTTTTCTTTGTCCAAAGGGACCATCTTGTCGGTAAGCCATTATTGTTTCTTACTCTTTCTCATTTTATGCGATCGGTTTCTTAAAAACTAACTAAGTATTTAATTTGAACAATTGTATTTTATCTGAATTGCTGAACTCCATTACCAACTATTTAAAATATACAAATCATAAGTGATACTTTTACTATCCCTCAATGAAAGATTATGTTTAGTATTTTACATATATTTAACTTTTATATCACAAGTTTCTTTAAATTTCTAATTTAATACTATACCATTCGTTTTAATTTTCATACGTCACAATAGTTTAGAGCCTAATAACTATAATTTGCATAATTACCATTCATAGCTATATATCAACTATATGTATTTGTTCGAGCAACGAATACAACTAAGGCGAAATAGAGAAACCATCTAAGCTGTGAGAGCTTGTTTTTCTCTTGTTTAAGTTCAAAACTATTAATCTTTTATTTTGTGAATTTTGCTATAAAATTCAAATATAACTACGGATGATAAATTTACTAAAAGTATAATTCGAATGTAAATAAAGTATAAAATATTTGATGTATCGCGTAATTTTTCCTTTCCGTTACTCGATAACAAAGAAACCAAGGAGGGCCTACTCACTTAAGATGTGTGGATAAACTTTTAGAAAGGAATAGCTATTCATTACTATATTAATCTAGAATATGTCAAATTGCCAACTCTATTCATTTTAACTGCATTTGGGGCGAATCATCTCAAATATATTAGATTATGGGTTCGAGCTATGAAAACATCCATTAATATTTGCATTAAGATAGATTATCTATATCACAGCGGAATGCCTACCCTGGGGTGAATCTACCTTGATTTCTTCTAACTCTAGTTGTAAGCCTAATCATATCGCGTACACCAATAGTCATAGCTAATGCTTCAAACATCACCTTCAGTGTGTGTATTATGTGTGTATATTTTTTTTAACAATAGTACCCGGACCAATTTGCACGCAACTCAACTATTCCATCGACTACCTTACTACCTAAATATACACTTAATAAAATACTGTAAGAGAATTAAGAAACTCTTGATTCAAAAGGCATCCAAAGTGCATAAATGTACTCAACTTCTAAGTCAAAAGTTTTTTTAAATGTAAAAAGATATCAACTACAATAGTTTCATTGAACAAATAAAAATCAATAAGCAAATTTTCAACCCTAAAAATCCATATAATACTCTAAACTTGCTGCTCTTTCTTGAATTCATCTCCATTCTCCTCAGGTGCACAATACCTTTTCCAAAACCAATGACTTTGCCATAGCAAATAAATTTCTTCAATTGGAACTTGCTTTGTCTCAGGCAAAAGCAACAATATGAAGCAACTCATAATAATAATCAAACCAGCAAATAGCAGAAATATGCCATATTTGAGGTGACAAAGTGAAACCAAGAAACATTGTGCAATTAGTGCTGTGAAAATCATGTTGACACAAACAACAATACTTTGTCCTGCTGATCTTGTTTCCAATGGAAATATTTCACTTGGAACTAACCAACCTAAAGGACCCCATGATCTTCCATAGGCAAGAACAAATATGCAAATTATTATTACTAGGAATATTCCAATTCCTTTTGGTAGCACTACACCTTGTCCAAACTTTAATGCTAGTGTAATGGCAACTGCAACCTGTGGATCAAGATTTATAGTAAGTATACTATCCGATGAAAACGGAGAGTTAGAAATCTATAGTAATGCTGATTGAAGCGAGTCAGTATAGAACATGATATCAACTTCATTATGAGAAAAAGTTGTTGAAAATGCATCTTTAGCGAAAATAAAAGAGGTTAATATTACAAAACTAGCCAGGTTCAGTTCTGGTGTGTATGCCGCCTTACCCCTACCTATTGAAGGTAGAGAGACCATTTCCGATAGACCCCCTCAAGAGAAAGAAAGACGAAAAACCAAAACTACCAAGAAACTAAAGTTTCCAATTTTTTTTCCTTTTGAAAAAGGAAGTATATGAGTAAGGTTTTAGAAGGGAAAATTAAACCAAATGGACATATAGTAAACTTTTTAGTGTCAATGCAATTAACATGTTATAGCAGACAAAACCATCTTGCTTTCCAGGTAATTATTTTCACTTTTTATGGACATTTAGAACTATATTGTCAGTATATAGAAGTTAAACTGAAGCAAAAATTACCATGACACAGATTAACGTCTTGCTTTCCAGGCAATTATTTCCACTTTTTATGGATATTTAGAACTATATTGTCAGAATATAGAAGTTAAAATGAAGCGAAAATTACCATGACGCAGATCATTTCAACTCCAGCTTCCAAAAAGAAAGCTCTTCTTCCAAACTTATCAACAAAGGACATTGACATAAGTGCACCAACAACAAGTGCTCCACCAGTAATAACAGATGAATAAAGAGAAGCTCCTGAGCCAAACCCTAAACTCTGAAAAATAACAGGTGCATAGAAAAGGATTGTGTTCATTCCAGTAAGCTGTTGAAATGCTGGAATTGCTAATGCTCCAATCACCAATTGTGGCCGATTTTTCCTCTCTAGTAAATTTCCAAATGGATTCTCTATAGCTTTTGCTTCATTACTTGCATCTATAAGATCAGCAAATTCTGCATCCACTTTTGAAGTTCCTCTAACTTTTTCCAATATTTCCCTTGCTTTCTCTAATTTACCTGTTATACAATTTTTAATCAAGATGATATAATAATAAAAAAGTAAATCCATGAAAACACCAAGGGATTTTAACATTTAATATATTATCTAAAAATATTTGATCTTATATACACAATATAATTTTCAGGCTAACGAGGTTCGGAAAAAAAATAGAGACTTCAAGTCTCATATAAATACTTATCAATGGTTAAGGTACTTAACCATTATATATGATATTTTATAGAAAAATATATTAAATGAATTATTTGCACCGTACCATCTTTTTCTAGGCCAATCTGTAAATTATATTCCCGTTATTACATTTGCAATGTAGTAAATTTTATCTTTAAAAGTAGTTGAATGGATCTTTCTTTTTGCAATAGCTCACTAGGCTAATAGAGGATAAAATTTATATAGTGGCCTAAAAATGGCCATTTGTGCAAATGTCCCTAAATGTCTTGGACTTGTAAATTACAAAGGCTCCTCATATTTTATTTCATTTAATAATAATAATAATAATAATAATAATAATAATAAGGATTTAAGTTGTATAAATTGACAGGATAATTAATTTAACCTATCATAACAGGTTAGTTAGCATACCATTTTATTCTAGTTAATGATTCTATATTATTAAATAGAATTACCTGTAATTACCTTTTAAGTGGACATTATAAACTTTTTTTTCGTCTTCAGTTGTATAGAATTTAAACTTTAATAACACAAAAACTTACTGGCATATCAAGTGTTTACACCAAATCATACTAATTTACCTTGCTCGACGAGACTGTTTGGTGTCTCGGGAAGGAAAAGGCCACCAACAAACATGAGTACAGCAGGAATTGCTGCTAATCCAAGAGATAATCTCCATCCCCATGGATGGATTTGAGCAGTTGCATAATTGACCAAATTGGCTATTAATACTCCCAAGCAAGTTGTGAGTTGAAACAATTGGTTAACTGCTCCTCGGATTTTTGCAGGTGCCATTTCTGAAAGATATAACGGAACTGCCTGGAATTTTGAAAAAAGAACTTTTGAAAGTTAAAGTTGTGTTTGAACATGTATTTATTTAAAAAAAAGTTGAAGTTTTGTGAGTGAAAGAAAAAAATTTACTCTAAAACTACCCTAGATTGATTTTTGGAAACTTGAAAAAAGAAATCGAACTTTCTTCAAAAATTGATCAAATTTCATGAAGAAACAATGTTTTTAAAACTTTTTATCTGAAAAAAATAGCCAAAATCTATATCCAAACAGATCCAAATTGGGCAAATTCGGTAGACCAATTATTTGACCCGTCTTGATCTAAGGAAAGTTTGGACATTTTGACTCATGACTCATTTAGTAATTTGACATGTTTTGACTCATCCAAATTTGCAACCTCTACTAACAATATGATAGGGTTCGCTCTAGTGGTGAGCACCCTCCAATTCCAAGTCACCCAAAAGCTAGCAAGGTCGAGAGTTCTTGGAGGGGGGAATTAAAAAAAAAGGGTTCATGAAAGCATGCGCAGAGCTACAGTTGTCGAAAGATGGTCAAACAATCATACACCGTTCATAAAAAAATTTATGATATACATCAAATATTAATATTTTTCATACATATATATTAAATCTTGCATACCCTTAAATCGAATTACCTGGTTGCTAAATCCAATGCCAACACCAAGAAGACATCGACCAATAATGAGCATAGCAATATTTTTAGCAGAGGCATTAAGTACTGCACCAAGAAAAAAACTAACTGCACCACATAGGATACTGGCTTTACGGCCTTTATTCCTAGTAACATGTGAAGCACCAAATGTAGATATAAGTGCAGCAAAATACAAAGAGGAAGTGAAAAGTGTGAGAATTTGATTGTCATATTTGCAATAATCTGTTTCTTTGAGATGTTCTTGCTTCCTGCTGTACACTTTGGGGAAAAATATTTTCAAGAAATCATCCATAGAAGTCACCCCACCTGAAACAAGCAAAAAATTCAGACTTCAAATTATTTAAATATTTATTCAGAATAAGGTCTGCGTATACACTATCTATTAAATATATTTATCTTAAAAATCTATTAAATAAATGATTAGATTTCCAAAATCATAAACTCGAAACCCCAACTCCGTCTCTGATGAGGGGAAGGAGTAGGTTTGAAGAAATCTCGAAAATTTACAAGTTGTGCTGATAATAAAAATTAACAAGTTTTACTATTTCAAAAGATTGTCAGATTTAGCTAAATTATTATTGTATTAGAATAGTGTTAATCACGAAGAAAATATACAACAACAACCCAGTAAAATCCCACAAGTGGGGGCCTGGGAGGGTAGAATGTAGGCAGACCTTACTCCTACCCCAAGGGGTAGAGAGGCTGTTTTCGGAAGACCCTCAACTCAAGAAGACGAAAAGAGATATCAATATTATCAACAGAAAATAATAGAAACAATGACAACAACATAAGAAACAGAGAATAGATACAAAACACTAATAACAACCCGTAGATAAGGCCCGGCACAATGAAAAACGGGAGAAGTTAATTACGAAGAAAATATACTAACCAGAAACACCAAGATCATAACCAAAAAGAGAACCTCCAGTGGCTGCAATAATGCAAGAAAAAATGAAATACCAAGTAATTTTATACTCATAAAGATGTGCTCTTGCTCCTCTTCTATCATCAAATCCACCACCTGCCATTGTTTTTAATTCTCCTTACAATTTCTTCTCTTCTTCTTTTATTCTATCACTAAAAACTGAAAAGGAAATTTGTAAATGGCTTGTAGAAAGTAGAAAGAAAAAGTTGTTATTTATGCATGTTTTAGGTGATTCAAATTAGCCAAAAAGGATAATGCTCATCTGAAAAAAGAAAAAAGATACTTAAACGTTAGTCAATTTGAAGTGAGTTTGCACTAGGAGTCTTATTTTTTCATTAAATGACAATCAGAAAAAGGATATATAATCATTTAATAATGGTTTGAATTATATATATTGACAATGTAAATTGTTTTTACCCTTCCAGTATAATTTACTATTTTTATTAGGCTATCAATTAGTGTCTATCATAAAGATTTACTTGTAAATTATAACTAACTTAAAAGTGATCCAACATATATATATATATATATATATATATTAGTTATCAGTGTATTCTTTTAGTTATCAGTGTATAAAACTTAAACCATCAAATAAGCGCATGTTCTACGTTTCACTCTTTTTTTTTTGTTTCTGCTTATTATTATATACCGTTGCAAATAAATAGTACCTTAAATATTTTATCTTTTAAGGTGTAAATTCATTTAAAAATTAATACAGTTTCAAAAAATAAATTTAATAATAAAACTATTTGTCTAAATTTATTATTTGTTTCTGTTAAACATTTTGCTTAATTAAAACTTCACTAATTAAAACAGTGATGGTGAATTTTAAAGGGAAAAAATAATAAATGCTTTTTGCTTTCTGAAAATGTGGTCTTTAATTATGAAACAAATTCAGCCAAAAAAAACTATTAATATTTGGGACTTTAAGGGAGTATTAATTATTTACTACTCCATATATCTCATTACGTGACAGCATTTAATGCGTGGTATACTCGTTACAATTAGTTGAAAACTAGTTTAATGGGAAAGTTTTATAATAATAAATTATTAAAAATGACATATATATTAGGATGAGAGGAATATTAATTAGCAGGAAAAAGGGATCGGTTGCTTATTTTCTTCCATTTTGAGAAGCATCACTCTGCTAGCAGGAAGCACGCAAGCCCAATAATATCTTACGTATGTAATAACTTTACAATAATTTATTTTATATTATTACTTAAAAACTCTCTCAGATTTAATCTTTGGTTATTCAACATAGAAAAAGCCACCATCAAAATTCAAAAAAGAATTTGGTTGCTACTATAAGATTTTTGGAATCAATAAGACTGACAATTATTATTATTATTATTATTATTATTATTATTATTATTATTATTATACATGTAATGTGTGATAAGCCTACTGGTCGATAAAGTTCTAAAAAGTTGTTGAAGTAAATTTGGGAAAGCTAGTTGATACATGTGAGGGATAAAGTAGATAATGAAGTCGTTGGAGTTTGAAAATATGGTTAGTTGGACTGGATATATACAGAATAAACATTAATTATAAACCACTTAATATGGGATAAACGGATAAGGACACTATATATTGAACGTTAAAAATTTATTGCACCTAATATTCATATTAAATTTATAAATTAGAGATATATGCTTTTTATATAAACAAACTTCTCTGTAACATCCTCATTTGTTCCGAATATTTTTGGATGTTATAGCAAATTAATGTTATAGAGAACATATATTATAACAGAACATTAGATTTGGTTCCGCAAAAAACTTGGCTTTTATAGTGAAGCACTGTTATATAAGGATGTTGTTATAGGGAGGTCTAACTGTACGCACTAATTACTAATTAATGATATTCTTACTTAAATTTTTAACTGTTAAAAATAAATAATTTATTTAGTTTAATATAATAAGAGATCAATATAATAACGAGTGCAAGTAAGTATTTATCTACATAGAGTTTCAACATAGTAGGGAAGAGATTACCATAATCTATACGGCAAAGGAATATTTATTGGAGGTTTATCTAATACTAGCAAAACTTTCAATTTTTATACTCGGTTAATTAGCAACTCATAATTTAATGAAGGACTAGTGGCTTAAGAAGAAGGATATATATATATATCTCATGATCTGTCTGGATAAATTAGCTTAAATTATACAATCTTATCATGTTGATTTCTACTTTTTCAAAATTTATCTTTTAATGGAACTCGTTTTCCCCAGAAAAAGGAATTCTCTAATTTCCTTTATCTAAAACAACTTTCTGCTGACAAATAATTACAGCCCAACCAATTGAAAAATATTGCTTGCAACTCCGATGAAATGATCATCACAGTTGACAAATTATGTGTTGGTAAAAATACAGTTGACAAATAAAATGATTTCGATGAAAAAAAATCTCGATCTCCGAAAGCGTTTTCCTTCCCCCGTTGCACCTCCCTCCCTTCGTCGAGCAAGTATAGTGTTGAATAAGTAGGTGTAACTGTTGAGTTCTACGGCGGTGAACTCAACGGCGTCAGTTATAATGATTCTGCTACTGTGAAAAAATATGCTAGACGTGCTCAATTGGGTGAAATTTTTTAATTAGATCGTGCTACTTTGAAATCCGATGGTGCTTTTGATAGGGTTCATTTTCTACGTCATGGAGCAGTGAGAGTTATGACATATTTTATTTTAATAATAAATGCTATTATGCTAACATTTTCACATTCATTTTAATATTAAAATAAGATAATTTTACCAGTTGAAGGGAGACTATCATGAATAATAAAGGTATGCTCTGCACTGAACCTCCAGTTAGCAAAACAACTATCTTAAATCCAGAGTCAGTATTGGTCGCAGACTTGAACTATGAATGTTTTAGAGTTATCACTGCTTATACATAATGATCAAGATGTTGATATGAGCTTTAATAGCCAGCACATTACGGCACTGTGCTATCCCGGTTTTCATGAGTGTTTTTGAGAATTAGCCCAATTTTCATAGGAAGCAGCTTACTTCCACCCTCACATAGGTGAAATATGTCAAGGGTACTCCTGTAAATCTAATACCTACTCATACAAGCTACAGATTTTCATTAAGAGTTAATAAAACTCAGCCTCACAAATTATTACAGGATAAATACACTCATACCATATGGATTGAACAATAATAAAAATAGTGCATTTCAAACCAATCCATCATATGATTCGTTCTTCCCATTGAACCTAGTTATAAGAACTCTAGTCCCCAGGTTGGGTTTCCTCATATATGACTTGTGAGTTTATGGGCTTTAATACCATCCCCCTCGTTGTGCTCTAGACCCTTTCTCTTGCTAAGGCTTTAGTTAGTGGATCTGCAAGATTATCACAAGATTTAACATAATTAACATTAATGGTACCACTTGTCAAATATGATCTCATAGTACTGTGTTTTGTCCTTATAGGTTTTGGATGTACCGTTGTAATAACAGTTTTGTACTCTCCAAATTGCTAGCGGTGCTATCAAANAACCAATTCTCTTCCTCACTAGTTGAAGCTAATCTTCACGGTAGAGTTAGCTATTATTGTTTGCTTTTTTGATTTCTAACAAATAACACCACCTCCCAAAGTAAAAATATAACTTGTAGTAGAACAGGAATCACCAGATAAAGTGTTCTAATCTGCATCAGAAAAGCCTTTGAGTACTTCTTATAAAATAAGCCATAGGTTTTTGTACCAAGTAAATACCTCATAACTCTTGTTATGGCATGCCAATGTTCATAACCTGGCTTGCTTGTAAACCTCCTAAGTACTCCTATGCGTATGCAATCCGGCCGAGTACAATCAGTCATATATCTCTAGCTTCCAATTAAGCTAGCATATTCCTTTTGATTTATCACATCATTGTAACTTTATAGAGGAAATAAGTGAACACCTGAATCAAAAGGAGTTACAACACGCTTGCAATCAATAATATTATATTTTTTCAAAAATTTCTCAACGTAATGTGTTTGGTCAAGGAAAATTCAATCACATGTTCTAGTAATTTTCATTCCAAGAATCAAATTTGCCTCACCTAAATCTTTCATGTCAAATGACTACTAAGCATGCTTTTAGTTTCTCCAATAACATTTATGTTAGAGACAAATATTAACAAATCATAAACATAGAGGCAAATAATTACATGTGAATTATTTCAAGACTTATGATAGATGCACTTATCATACTCATTTGATTTAAAACCATTTTCAATCATGTAGAAATCAAACTTTTCATGCCATTGCTTAGGTGTCTGTTTCAAGCCATATAGGGATTTAGTAAGTTTACACACTTTACTTTCTTGGCCTGCTTCTATAAAACCCTCAGGTTGATCCATATAAATTTCTTCATTTAGGTCCCCATTTAAAAAAGAAAGAATTACGCTTTTAATCACTTGGCACAGCAACCCAACTAAAAATGGCCCAGGTTTGAAACCTTTACCCGGTTTGGCCCAGGTTGTATATATCTTGAAAGAAACTTTTCAGTCTTTAGCCCATTATTAAAGACATACTTCTAGGGTTTTTTTCTTTTCTTCTTTCTTCTTTCCCAGCGTACTCAATCTCTCTTCACTTGCCTCTCTCTTCCTTCTCCCTAAAATTACAGATTTTTTTTGTACACACTCGTGATAATCCTCGCATGCTATGTCAATTAGATTTCTATTTTTGAGTTAATTGACAAAAGGAGGTTAAGGAACCAGAATAAAATTTGGCATATCAGTCCAAAAATTATCAGATCTGGCCTAAAACTATCAGATCTTGCCTAAAAGAGCATCTCCGGCTACCCCGTCTCATATTTTCTTATTTCTCTTAGTGTTTGTTTCATCCTTTGCTACTGGTGAAGCCCAGATTTAATGCCAAAATCTCGCCGGAAAAATTCAACACCAGCAACCGCCGAAAACTGTAATGTGGTGATGGACAGAAGGTGTTTTCTGGTGTAAACTTGTATAAGTAGTGTTTATACAAACTTATACAATATTGTATAAATATGTATAAGTATGTATATATGCGTACAATGTTGTATAAATTAGATATATTTTTAATGTATAAGTGTGTATATACATTGTACGTGTATAGTAGACATCCATGGATGTTTGACACTTTCTTCTTCTCTTCTTCTTTGTCTTTTTTTCTGATATACATTATTAGAAATTGTATATACAAGTTTATACAAAGTTATACATCATTATACATGTAATGCACATG